TACCGCCCCCCTCCTTGCTTTAAAAAAGTTCCACATACTGTTTCTGTATATTCTCTACCCCTCTCTCTTTAAAAGTCTCCATATCAGGTTTTCTGTATATTCTCTACCCCCCTCCTCCTTTAAAAGTTCCCCACATACAGGTTTTCTTAATTCTCTACCCCCCTCTCCTTCTTTAAAAGTTCCCCACATACAGGTTTTCTGTATATTCTACCCCCCTCCTCTTTAAAAAGTTCCCACATAGTTTTTCTGTATATTCTCTACCCCCTCCTCCTTTAAAAAGTTCCCCACATACAGGTTTTCTGTATATTCTCTACCCCCTCCTCCTTATAAAAGTTCCCCACATACAGGTTTCTGTATATTCTCTACCCCCCTCCTTCTTTAAAAAGTTCCCCGCATACAGGTTTTCTGTATATTCTCTACCCCCCCCTCCTTCTTTAAAAGTCCCCACATAACAGGTTTTCTGTATATTCTCTACCCCCTCCTTCTTAAAAAGTTCCCCAACATACTGGTTTCTGTATATTCTCTACCCCCCTCTCCTTTAAAAAGTTCCCCGATACAGGTTTTCTGTATATTCTCTACCCCCCCTCCTTTAAAAAGTTCCCCACATACAGTTTTCTGTATATTCTCTACCCCCCTCCTCTTTAAAAGGTTCCCCACATACAGGTTTCTGTATATTCCTACCCCCCTCCTTCTTTAAAAAGTTCCAACATACAGGTTTCTGTATATCTCTACCCCCTCCTCCTTTAAAAAGTTCCCCACATACAGGTTTTCTGTATATTCTCTACCCCCCCCCTTCTTTAAAAGTTCCCCACATACAGGTTTCTGTAATCTCTACCCCCCTCCTTCTTTAAAAAGTTCCCAACATACTGGTTTCTGTATATTTCTTACCCCCCTCCTCCTTCTAAAAGTTCCCGCATACAGGTTTTCTGTATATTCTCTTACCCCCCTCCTTCTTTAAAAAGTTCCCAACATACTGGTTTCTGTATATTCTCTACCCCCTCCTTCTTAAAAGGTTCCCCACATACAGGTTTTCTGTATATTCTCTACCCCCCTCCTTCTTTAAAAGAGTCCCCACATACAGGTTTTCTGTATATTCTCTACCCCCTCCTTCTTTAAAAAGTTCCCCGCATACAGGTTTTCTGTATATTCTCTACCCCCCTCTCCTTTAAAAGGTTCCCCACATACAGGTTTTCTGTATATTCTCTACCCCCTCCTTCTTTAAAAGGTTCCCCACATACAGGTTTTCTGTATATTCTCTACCCCCTCCTTCTTTAAAAAGTTCCCCAACATACAGGTTTCTGTATATTCTCTACCCCCTCCTCCTTTAAAAAGTTCCCACATACAGGTTTTCTGTATATTCTCTACCCCCCCTCCTTTCTTAAAGGTTCCCACATACAGGTTTTCTGTATTCTCTACCCCCTCCTTCTTTAAAAAAGTTCCCAATACACGTTTTCTGTATATTCTCTACCCCCTCCTCCTTTAAAAAGTTCCCCACATACAGGTTTTCTGTATATTCTCTACCCCCCTCCTCTTTAAAAGTTCCCCACATACAGGTTTCTGTATATTTCTCTACCCCCCTCTTTAAAAAGTTCCCCGCATACAGGTTTTCTGTATATTCTCTACCCCCTCCTTCTTTAAAAGTTCCCCACATACAGGTTTTCTGTATATTCTCTACCCCCCCTCCTTCTTTAAAAGGTTTCCCCACATACAGGTTTTCTGTATATTCTCTACCCCCCTCCTTCTTTAAAAATTTCCAACATACTGCGTTTTCTGTATATTCTTCTACCCCCTCCTCTTTAAAAAAATTCCCACA